GCAAATTTTGAAATGTCCCATAGAGAAGAATTATGCAATATCTGATGCAGAAAATAAAAATCCTTCCGTGGCAATATGCAGCATTTCTCTGTTTTAAATATGCATATTAATATTACCTTTTACATGCGCATGCACCACATCTTTTTTTTTCCCATTAATGAAGTTTGACAGTTTGTGACAGGATAGAAAGGGAATTCATTATATTTAGCACAGAAAACTCATTTCTCATTTTTCTAGTGCCAAGCAGCTGCAACAAAATTGCCTAAACCACTGTATCAATTCCTCACCATTGTGGTTCTTCAGGTCACCCTCAAGGGTCTTCAATTTCCTTATGTTCACAGCTTGGCACCTGGTAATTTTCAGAAGCAGGAAATATAAATAAGCTATATATTTTTACTTGGAGAAGGATTTTTCTTTATTTAAGAAGAAATAAAACTGTCAGGTTGAAAATATTAAAAATCAGAAGCTTGACTGTAATAATCACAGCAGCGCCAATGCCAATTTTGTTTAGCAAACTTGGGAATGAAAATTTTCTGCATGACAAAGAAACCTCCCCTCTCCCTGAAAGAAATTGTGCATGTGCAGGAGAAATTGAATTTTTAGTTCAACAATCAATGGAGTTGAAGAAGAAGTTACGGTAATAAGGCTGAAATGTTCCCAGCATTATTTTTCCTTTAAAACTTACTCAGTATTCTTGCTGCTTGTGGTCATATGCTTTGTATACCAGCATTAATAATTGAGGAGATGCAATAGTACAGTATTCAATCTATTTCCTTAAGAATGGCTTCAGAGACTTGCTCTGGGCTCTTGCCATGAAGTGAAAGAAGGGTTTCCTTTTTCTCTAACTTTATTTCTACTGAACATATATTTTCTAAGCCTTTATCAGTGTATGACCTGAAATAAAGTACTTTTTCTGTTCCAGTTAAAATTTTGCTACTAATGGAAATATAAGGCTCCTGAATATGAAGACAGAAATTAAAAACAATAAAAACATTAGACAAAAAGCATGTTCTGAAAAAAACTATTTCATATTTATTCAAATAAACCCTCCAAAGTCTGACACTTTTATATGCTCTCAGACTAATTTGTTTTACCATGGTAAATGCAGGCAATCAAATTCACAAATTTAATACTGGTGTCACAAATTTAATTACTATGGTGTCATAAAAGCATCAGTTTTGTGCTCTGCTCTGTCCTTTCCTGTGCATCTTAACCAGATCAGTCTTGCTGGGACATGCTGTCCCCAAATTCTCTGTCCCTGGATCTAGGTCAGCACCTTTAAAGCCTCAAAGCTCTTTCAGGAGAGGATCTCCACTACTCCTTCCACCCCTCAACAACACATTTTCAACAAGGAGAGCAGTGGCCTTACAGAGGAGGTTATACAAGTTAGGATTACTTCAGTAACACAGAAGACAGTGAGACAAAAAGGAGCTGTCATCTATCATTTGCTATTACTTTCCCAGAAAAATCAGATCTTCTGAGGAATGTTTGCATTAGTGAGGAAAGTGAGAGAATGCTCCCTGGAAGCATCATACAGCATAACAAGTCTAAGATGATACAGGGCAGGACTGATCCCTCTCAAAGTCAAAGCAGACTTAGAAATTCAATACCATACCGGATTTACCAATATTCTATTAAAAGTCTATTCTTTTAAAAGTCCATTCATGATTTGTGTCTGTTCTAGTATGAATGCACGGGCTTCAGTCCAGAATCAGAGATGTGATTTCTTAATATGGTTTGAGCAGACTTTTTACCTCCTCTGGATGAGCCCTGTGACTGAGAATCACTTATACTGTGTTTGCTAGTAACACACACACAGAACTTCAACCCAGCCAGTTACTAGTTCAGTGCAAACACAGTCATGAAAAGCTATATGTTATTAGCAGAGTTTTTCCCAAGTTGAAGTTGTGAGAAATCTAGTCTGCCAGGGGATAATAATATGAACTATGGACATATTCTTTTATGTACAAACACACAAAAGCGTAGGTCAGAAGCTACCCCAATTCTTTGCTATGCATCTCATTAAAAGGAACAACCTCATTGATCAACCCTCTTTCCCCACAATGCAAGTGCATTTTTTGATTATATCCTTCTGAGGTAATCCTTCTGGACCAATTGTGGAAGATTTCCCACTGTTAGATCAGTAGGAAAAAAGCATGCTCATGATGCATCTACAGATTTACTAGTGTATCTGGTTTTAGAGCCTGCATTATGAAACAACGTGGTACATAAGCAAATGTATGTTTTCTTGGACTTTCTTTATGGCTAAGAAATTATATAGGTCCTTCCTAAACAGACATCTTTTCTAATATATATTTTTGCAGTCAGTGATTGACTGTCTTCCTGAATTATTTTCATAGCTTGACATCTAATTTTGTTTTATTTTTTAAGATATAAATGTGGTATTTTGAATCTCTGAAAACTGTATGAATGGAGCTGTTAATGGCTTCACATGTTTTTGTTACTAGTGAAATCCGTCAGCATTTAATTTCAAAAAGCTTGTTTTGAACATTAGGTGGTTGGGTGGCTGTTTGTTGTTTTAGCTGTTGTCTTAGCAAAACCCCAAGACTACTACTTTATAGCAAAGCATGCCTGCACCCCTCTTCACTGCTCTTCAGAATATGCTGTGACTTGCTTAGCCGACTGGCTCAGTTGTGCGAGGAAAGAGCCAAGCGTGCAAATACATATCAGATCACTAGGTGTCCTCCCGCCACAAAATTTCTTCTCATTCTCAGCAGGCTGGGAACATTCTCCTAAAACCCGCAATCGCGCATAGCACTAAAAGATTGCTAGTGCAGATCTGTGCGAACAGCCTCAGCGTAGGTCAGAGCACTGCACTTAGTTTTCGTTACACACAGATTAGAACTTCAAGGGATACAGAGGAATTTTCTGTCACATTAAGTATTGCAAAAGCAGAGCTTTATGAATAATTAATCAAGCAGCAGCCATGATCTTAGCATGGTTCCTAGTTTCTTTGCCTTTTCCCATAGCTGCCAGGTCCTTACATGTTTCCGTAATACTCTTCACTCCCCAACAGGTAAAACAAGACCTTGGTTTGCACTTGCCTGCTCTTTATGTCTCAGAAAAAAGTTTGTTATCAGAATTAAGTTGTTTCTAGCACCAAAGTCTTTCAACTATATCATTTCAGGCAGCATTTCTAAACCAGCCAGATAACTTTCTTGGCTTCTATTTGTTCCTGTCCAGCAGAATCGTGGAGCAATATAACAAAATGCCAAGTCTGTAGTGCAATGGTTCTCTACAGCCATTTCCTGAAAATAAGGAACACAGCAGCACTGAGAAACACACACTAAATCATGTATGTGGGTTTGGGAATTGTTTCACTGCTTTTATCCTATTGTGATGTGACAGCATATTTAGAAAGCCGAAGTACATCATCTTTGCAAGGAAGCAGAGCATTCTGACTATAAAATCCTTACGTGAAACACAACGTTGTTTTTTATATCAAGTAAGACTTTTGGTTTCTGATCATGTTCATTATTTGAATTCATTAGTGTTCTAAGAATAAAACTACCTGCATATTTGTTACTTGGGGTGATGGTAAATCTTCAAATTGGACAGAAATGTGTAGATTACCAATTTATTTACCAAGGGAAATAAAGATTTTGAGGACATGGAAAACTGTTGAAATGTTTACCAAACTGGAAAGGCTTTCAGCTGAAGTAGAAAATAATGTCCAAATATTTTGTGTGACTTCTAAATCTAACTTTAAAAAAAATTACCTTGTATATCTTTGTTGCTAAAACAAGTGAACAAGCCAAAACCAACAAAAACCTTTCATGTTGGGTTAAATAACACACACTGGCTGACAGACATTCGTTGCTCCAAAAGAATAAGTATTATCTGACAATTGATTAAAATTGACTCCCCTCTTCTTTGTCCTGATTTTTGTATTTGGTCTACTACACAGGCAGTACTATCTATTGGTAGGCTCTGTGCTATGCTGGGACCTCACAGGCGCTTCAGTGCTGTGTTTCATATTTCCTAGAATTTACTGGTCTGATCTTCATGCTTTTATTCAGGGGAGAATTGCCTCTGAAGTCAAATGAGATATTCTTCAAATTAAAGGATGCATGGGGAGATATCCATCTGTCAAAAATTAATTAAATCTTCCGTAAATGGGGAGGTGACCCACATATTCCTGTAGCTAAAGAGCGTACACTGGAATATGGGTGGTGGTGTGACTGCTCCAGATAAGTGTTGTTTTAGATAAGCATGAGGGGGGTTGTTTGCTTGATTTAGAATGCAAACTTCACTTTAGAGGGATAATAACTGTTCTTAGATATAATTCACATGTGGGTCACATGCATATGAATTCATTCAATAAAGGACAGATTCAGCAGATAGTGACTTGCAAGTGTCAAAGATAATAAAACAGTACTGATGCAGTGGGGGTTCAGAAGGTACTTACATTTCATGCAATATTTAGGTGGAAAGCATGATGTTCTGATGAGTAAATAAAGCCTTGTCTTAAATAATGGCATGCTTCTGATTTCTAAGGTTCATTTGAAAGTTAGACCTCTTTTTTCTGACTCGAAGCCTCCACGGTACCCATGCAGCAGTACCAAACTGGCTGAGGAGAAGCAGATGGTGTTCACCACTCCTCCCAGGCACATTCATGTTTTATCATGCCAGCTTTGTCATCAATTATCTCAGTGTATTGAAACAATGATGAATCTCATTCGAATGATTAAGGCCTATGACTGGAATCATCTATGTGCTAGCTACGTATGTGATGAGAAATTTATGCTTGGGAAATGATGAGCTGATCATAAACTTCAATGTATAAAGTAAGGTTACTACAGTCATGCATCAAAAGTTTACCAAAAGCATTAAGTTTCATCAGCATATCACATTTTTGGAAATTCTTCTACCATGCCCAAATCCAAAGTCCTGATCTATGTGGAATAGACTAAGGAAGTTAACCTGTAAGAGACAAACAACCCTTGATTGGATCATGTACACAAATAGAATATGAATGCTGTTGTCATGTCACATCTTTTGTACTTAGCAAAGTTAAATAGAAGCATTGTCCTTATTGCTTACTATTTATGCACTTTTTTTTCCAATTAATAGCTTCTCCTTCTAATTATAGAAACATTCATGTGCAAATCACAACTTGGCAATGCAGGTGTTTTAAGTAGCTGTTCTGGGGTACGATAATGCTTCAGATGTAAAGAGCTCATGAGCCATCTCACAGCTTCATGCCTTTTTCTTATCCTAGCCACTAGACGACAAAAGACATAGAAATTATTCGGACATGGTATGCTTTCACATGATTTTATATTATGAGTATTGCAAACTACAGGAATAAGTCAATGCTGAATAAGAATCTACAAAGGCTTTTTGCTTAGATGGACTTCAGATGTCTTATACGGGACACAACTTTGCTATCTTCTCACAAACTGAAAAGATAAAGAAGTAATAATTAATGGGCATATTGAACTACAATAGACAATTCTGAGTTCAACGTTGTGGGTGTAAGTGAAGTTGTCATTAACTCAAGAGTGATCTCCTTTAGGGATGTGAACAGGTTTTTCAGTCTCTTCTTTGCTAACTGCCTTGAGGGGCTGTGTGGCACCGACCGGCTCCACGCAGCTGCCTTGCTGCCATGAGAAAACAAAAGCAACTGCAACAACCCCAGAGGAAGCTCTGAGACCCAAGGAAACCTTACATATGGTGGGAAATGGAACAGACAAGAGTGCTCATTCACTGTGTAACTCCACTCGCTTTGTCAGTTATGTGAATGACATGTGAAAAATAATTTCCTGCATCTCCAAGGCTTTGACCCCAGTAAACGGTAGTAGTTGCATTGCCCATCTCCTGACTTTCAGTACGGCGTGTCCTGGGCCGTTGCACTGCAAACATGCAGAGAAGATGGAGTAGTTGAATATTAGTAAAATATATGTATATATATATATATCTTACTGGCAGACATTAATAAGCCTTTGCTGTATATTACATTTTAAGCTCTATGTTCTAGTCTTCAAATTATAATGACTAATTAGAGGTATGTGAACACTGTAATTATCTTCTGGCAATAAATTGCAATACATATTCATAGTTACATGGATTTTATCTTCTGTGAAATGGTCCTTATAAAAACAGCATATCAGAAATTAATCCTTAGAGATGACTGGAGAGAATGCCCTTTTCCCTTTGTCTCTGGTTTATTTATGTGTTCCCATTAATTATGCCTTATTTTCTGTTGGCACTTTTCTTCTTAATGCAATTCAGTTTTAGCATATCTTTCCATAGACTTGTTAGTAGGTAGGATCATCATTTATACTGTGTAGCACAAATATTTTATAATCCACTAATCTTGACGAAAAGTCAATGCCTTACCAATAAAAAAATACATAAGGCATAATGATTCCCTGCTAGTAACTTATGAAGTCAGATCACCCAGTTTGAAGTGTCTGTTACACTTTAATTTCACCAGATTTCTTCCTTTGGAAGCTGTTACTCTTTATCTTTTATTGAGGTTATTTTTATACCAGCAACTCATCCCTTGCCAAAATCAACTGCACAGTCATAGGTCAAACAACAGACACAAAGAAACAGAAAGGAAAATTCCTGGATTAAGCTAGAATTTCTCCATTATTAGAGTGGTCACACAGTGGAACAATTTGCCCAGAAGCTCAGTCTCATTCAAAACAACTGGAAAAGACTCTGGTCCAGCTCTGAAGAGAGCCCTGGCTCATGTGGCTGCTGATGACTCCAGTGTGCTCAGCAAAATAGGTGATGTAGAGCAAGTGTAAGGATAAAAGGCTATGGTGAGAATAAGAAAGTACTTTAACCAGAAAGCTCTAATTCTCCTGCCTCTAGACCAGTGTCATACCAGTCCCCCCCTCCATATTCCAGTGCATTTACACATAGACTAGCCAAGAGGAACTCCAGATGAGGCCATGGTGGTGTCATGTAATTTGTGCATGTTCAATTCTCAAATTTCCAGAGCTTGTGCTAGGAAACTGGTAAAGTTGCTGTACCTTACACAAGCAATATTTAATTACATTTAGAAACAAAACAAGCAGTGACCACAACCAGATGGCAGAAAATGACAGGATAAAGTTAAACTTACTTCTACGCACCCTCAAATTTTGTCTGGTTAATCATTGATCTTAAGTTTAGGTCAAGACAGTAGCAACAGGTAAACTGTTGATCTCTAGATAATAGTGTAATAAAAATCCTTAGGTTTCACTTTCTGGCTGGAGCAGGTCAGATAAAAACTGATGCAGGCAGGCACTCCTGTTGCACTGTAGGTGAAGTAAAAGGCCTTTTTTAGTGTTTACAGCCCCAGCAGCTTCAGGCTGAGATATTTCCTCTTTTGCTATGCATACCGAAGCCCTCCTTCCTGGGAAGTGGCTGCATATCACCTGATGATGGGAAGTAGAGGATAAATACCTTGGTTTCCTTTGCTTCCACACTTGGTTTTTGCTTTATTAAACTGCCTTTATCTTGACCCACAAGGGGGTTTTATTCCCATGTTATTTTCTCCCCTCTTGTCCTGCTGAAGATGGGAGTGATAGAGCTACCTCATGTGCACCTGGCATCCAGCCAGGGTCAGCCCAATGCAGTTAAAAATTATATTCCTCAAATTGTCACTGATAATGATGTGAAAAGTCTGCCCAGCACAATTTACTCTGTAGAAATCATCCTTCAGTTTACTCTAGTGTCATAATCTCCCCTTACTCTCACAATTCAGTTCCAGAGACTTCAGCTTTAAATCAGACTAGCTTGGTACATTGTGGATGCACAGTATTGCTAATAGTTATCACCATTATACACAAAACAGAGGTCATTATGAAGTTTTCAAAGAAATGTTAAAAACACGTCATTACTGCAGCCTTGTACAGGCAAATAGAATAAATTAAAACCACTGACATTGTGAGTTGATTAATACAACAATTTATAGGTATTATGGCTCTTTGGGAATTCACTATAAGCTTTGTATGATCCCTTGTATAACTGATTGATGAAGTCTGTCATTCAATACAATTGATAGTTTCTAGCATAAAACAGTGCATATTGGTGCTTTCATTCAATATAACAAGCTACATAGCAAATAAGTGCAAAAAGGGATGCTTTCTTTCTAGCAAAAGAAGCCATAAACTAATTTATGTAGAGTGTAAAAGGTAGTAAATATTTATATTTTGTTATTTGATACTTGGAATGTTAATTTGTAAAATCAGTGATATAAAAGATGCTTGACCTATACTGAAGCATGGTGGGCTCATAGAGATAATGCATGTAATGAATATAAGTAACAAAGTGGATGCTACATAACTTGTCTATCTTACTTCAGAAAAAATACTTCAGCACAAATATTTGGTGGAATGCTACCAAATCCTCCAACCACCTGTAAACATTTATAAAAGCCGTACCACATTAACTGTGCCTTTAAATGCACATCATCTGTGTTTCAGCTGTTCTCTAAATATGTCTGTGGAAGTGGTTTAGAAATCTCAGAGCTCACCATCCAGCTGTTCTTTTACCATTCACTTTTTTCAAGACTTAATTAAAGCATCAGCCATTACTAGAGAAGAAGGACATGCCTTTATTTCTGTGGTCTAATGATAAAGAGTAATCTAGCATTCATTAGAAGCCACATAGCAAATTATGAAAAATAGCAATGCCCTGAAGTATTTATCACAGAATAACAGTCCACAGAGCAATAATACCTTATCTATTCGCATCTGGCGGATCCCCCACCCTCACTCCAGTTTTTGCAGCCTCTCTGCTCCTTGGATCCTCTGTCCTGCTTCCTCCTTGCTTGTTTTCAATGGCACTTTTTCAAGTTCTGACTTTTCAGGTTTTCAGAACTATAAAACTACCCTATCTGGTGGCTCTGTTTGGAGCTGATAGTTTAATGACAATGAACATGAAAACTTCTCAGCACCATCTTTTCTCAAGAATACAATCCAGTTACCTAAACAGATAATTCTCATTCACTTAAAGTGAGAAACATTAACATACTAAAACACACTATCAGTGCCTGCTGATTCTCAACACTTTTTTCTCATTTCAGACGTAGTTTTTGACTGTCATATGTTTTACATTTAAAACCTTTCCCCGCTTTGCAGCAGAATTAAATTTGGTTTTAATGATTGTCTTGCTGTAGTCGGTGCTGCCCAGATTCTTCTTTTCAAAAGCTACACCCTAGTGGTGCTTTCTTACTTGCCCTGTACTTAGACTAAGACAATAAATTTCAACTCAAAAGATCAGACTAAAATTATTCCATAATATTTTGATGTTGAATCGAGTATTTCTTGAAAACGACTCATTTGTTGGCAAAGCACAATAGCGCCAGAGAGCCAGGAACAACTTCACTGAATCATCAGGTTGCTTGGAAATCTTTACAGTATTGTCAAAAATAAGCTTGGAGAAATGAAAAACATTCCTTGAAGAAAAAGAATCTGAATATTTGTGGAAAAACATTCTCATTGCTCAGAAAGACAGACTGTGTGTCTGCTTTTGCTGCTATATCGCTTAACTGATACAAAAAACAAATAGGCCCCAGCGGTAGCCTTACTGAAAAGGGATAGCAAAGCATGATGGACTCATCTAATATTTTTACAACCATCTTATATGGGCTGCCAAGGGCAGCATCTGTCTCATTATTGCCATAAAGCTGACTGAACAAATCCTTAGGGATTAGTCTTAAAGGATATCCTTTGTGTGTGGGAGAGAACATGATATAAAATACTTTATTCTATTTTCCCTCCCCTGAGAAAGATTAATAAGAAAAATTCTCCAAATGTCACTTTCAGACTTTTTGTGATGTATATGTGCATTTTAAAGATAGGCACTAAACCAGATACGTGCACATTTTCTGGTTTGTTCAGAGAAACCAACATTGTTTTCTGACTTCCATCATTTTGAGATAATATATGTCCTCATTTCTGTTCTGGAGTTCACTGCTGAGATTTGGACACAAAGTGAAATACTGTCTAAAAAAAAGCTCATTTTGTAGGAGTCTTCAGCTACAGTCAAATGTCTTAATATATCTATGAGCTTTTTTCCCAGTCCAGAATTTTGCTCAAAATGCTCTCTCTTTATCAGTGCAAGTGCATACAAAAAGCAGTCATTTTGCTGTACATTAGACTACATAATTCTCTGCGGTAGTGTTATCACAGATAACTTCAGCTGGCTAGACATTCTTCAACTAAATCTCCACATTCTGATGGGAAAACTGCAACTTCAACTTTCATCTGGGTTGAAATGTACTGCAATAGTAATAACATATGGGACGATTTACACAATTAAAAACTTCTGGGGCTAAAATGGTATTAAAACATTGTTCATATTTTAGTAATATGAAAATATTTCTGTTCTGCCATTTTAAAACTGTAAAGAGTTCATAGTTAGACATCTCCGCCACTTTCCAATGTGTGACTCCTTCAACTGCCATGAAATATACCTTTGTTTAATCTGAAGACGACACTGCCATAATTTCTAAACAGACACATTTTACGAACCCAGTTTTGCAGTAGCTCACTACTACATGAATGGGGTTCTGTATACCTGTAAAAATAATGTGGTTACTTTTAGGATTAAGCTAGAGTAATTTATGGTATTGTTGCATGAAAAAGTTATTTTTGTCCTCCTACTTTAGATTTGTCAGTAGTAGCATTTTTAAAATCTGTGTTGTGCTCTGAAAACCTACTCGTCCCAGGACCATGCACCAACCAAGCCAGTATCACTGTCTTGTGTATACAGACCTTCACCTCGCATTCACAAAGGGGAAGCTCTACAAATTACAGAAAACTGAAAGAAGTAAAATATTTCTCTCTCCAGATCTAGGGTGGGGTAAAATATGAAATCACTGTGGTTTATGCGTTGTTTGCCATACACACAAGCTGCCTGCCACCTGGAAAGCTAACAGCTGGTAGAGAATGTTTGTTTTTCCTTCACAGCCAGCAGTTGCTTTTGATCAAATAAGCTCAGAAATGTTTTGAATAATGTAGAAATACCCTCTGAAGGATACACAGTAAATCGTTCAGTCAAGCTTCAACAACAACCACAAAAAGTGCTAGCAGATTCTTCTTCAGCAGGAAGAAGGAGAAGTTTTGATACAGCCCTTTCTGACTAAATTCTGAGTAAAGCAGTCTTAAGAGAAAGTTCCCAGTTATGGGTTACCTATAAAAAGATTGAGAGATTAACACTGAAGGTATTTCCTGGCTATAAATAAATAATTTGTGACCACACTGTGCTCAGAGCACAAACAGGACCAGGAACTCAAAGTGCCCCTCGCTCTCCAGCATATACATTTATAATTGGTCTGGTGTAATGAAGATAACTTGATAAGGATTGCACTATGACAGTTTTTCTTCCGCATTGGCTGCTGTTTCCTGTGGCCAGCAAGTGTTTCCTGTGGCCAGCCAGCTATTGATCTAGTTCCCTTCTGCCAGTGGTGCAGTTCCACAGGCAAATCAAAGCTACATTTTGTCTTCATTTTCATCTGAAATATGAGTTGATCTTTTGTACTCTAGACAGCCATTTACCACTCATTTTCCTTCATTGATGTTTATGAGCTGAGGTATAAAATTATTCTCAAAAGTAGTGTAACTGAGACAACAGTTGACATTGTGACCGTGACTACTGCTGCACCATGAGCTGCATTAATTCCATGAATCAAGGTTTGCTTCTCATTCACTTTTGAGGCAGCACACAGCAGAAAGTATCCTTAAAAGGCAACTGTGCTGTAACTGAAGAAATGCAGCAGTTTGTCAGCATAAGGACTGAGGGGAGGAAAAATTGCCCAAAGTCTTCAGCAAACAGCAACAGAACAGTAAAGTCTTTCTTATTACTTTACATTCAAGGGCCTTTCCCCACATCATGTCTCAGAAATCATTTCAAAATGCTTATTTTTACTTACTTCTTAATATTTTTCTCACTAAATTATTAGTAACAAAATGAATAGAAGGAAGAGCTGTCATACACAGCAAGACGGAAAGCCAAGACACTCAATTCATGTGTAAAATGGTAAAAGACATCAATACTATGGGCAAGTATTTTTTATATGCAATTATCAGCTCATAAGATACAGTATATCTCATCTCATTTCAACAACAGCTGATGCCTCCATTTCCCCCTGGAAACCCCTGCAGTTGCCATTATAAAAATCGTAAATAATATGTTAATGAGATATAGATTGATTATGTTGGAAAAGATGACATTTTCATCCATCGTTCTAAATGATGTTTAATGATGGATTACCAACCAGTAATTCCTCTGGTACAAGCTTAAGCAAAATAGCAGGCTGTTTCAGCAGGCAAGTCCAAGGAGATGGCAATAAATCTGCTCAATTATTGTTATTACCAATCCTGTTTTCACTGCTAAGGATATTATTATTTCATTTAGACTTATTCATGCATCATAGGTTATTCCAGTCAGTCAATGGGAGAAACTGCTCTATTTTATTCTCAGAGCTGCAAAGAACTGAGCTTTGAGAGAACACAGTGTATGGAGATCAGCAGGCCTTAAGTAGACATAAAAAAGCTAGCAATCTATCAGACCCAAAATACACTGTGAAAACCACATTTTAGAAAGTAGCATTTTGTTTGCAACTCAGCTTCCTTTACTTACGTGAAAATTCTCAACCAAAGCATACTGCCTGAGAAGCTGTCCCATTGAAACAGAATTATTGGATCCTCTATGATTCATACTTCACCTTGGTCCTGTAATATAATGAGAATTAGGTCATTCAGACTATCTTTTGGCCTGGGAAATTAGACTGCAAATAAGCATAACAAAAAATGTCCCCTTTTTTTCCCTGCCTCATGCTCAGGAGGGGAGAAAGCATGCAAAGAATTAAAAGAAGTCTACCACAGAAAGTTATTTTCTTTGCCAGCCAACCTGGCTTTGCAGTTTTGATAAACTCCTCCTCCTTGCAAGGAAATCAAAAACATTGCGCTTCTCTCAGTGCCCATGTTTCTCCCTGGGATCTTTTGTAACAGCAGATAAGACTATGGTATGGAGCGTATCTAGTGCCTATCTAACCAACTCAGATGTGAGGGAACTTTTAGATAGATGAGCAAATTTTAACCATCTATCCCAGACTGCTCATCAGTGGAGCAGGTGGAAACACATCGCACGTAAGTGTGAATGATCCCTGTTACTTCAGCACTTATTTTTCTGTAAAAGAAGGGAAGATGAGACTAATGGCTCCTCTGCTCTCCAAACATTACAAAGGCAACAGCCTTGCAGTAGCAAGCTGTAATCTGTTCCTTGCAGGAGGGAATTTCTCCAACCCTGATCCAAAACCTGCTTCCCAAGTTTTCACAGACCTGATTCTTTCCATGTGCTTATGGGCATCCCCAAAAGAAAGATGTCACTAAAGTAGGATTTTCCTCAAAGCACGAATCATTTATACTCTAGCTGTGGAAACTGTACTGAAGCAGCTAGATGAACAGGAGAGATGCGTGGAACATAGAATTTATTTCTCTCCTAGTTTCATCTCTCAGGGGTCAGCAAAGAAGGGAAAGCTGCTGAGGTGCAATGGAAAATTTGCTTCAGGAAAAAGTTTCCTCCCTGACTTGTTCCTGTTTCATAGCCCATCAGATAAGCTTTTATCTGACCAAAACAAGGGCATGTTGCAGAATAGTGCCGCCATGGAAGCATAATCATAAGTATCTATGCAGTGCTGGACTAATTCAGCACAAGGGAAAGCAGTATGGGGGTCAGTATGACTACGTCTTAGGAAAAAAACATTAGTCAAAAAGGGAACGAGAATTGTTAGGAATTATTGAGACAGGAGTGGAAGTAAAATAAGAATGTCATTGCATCACTGCATTTGCTAACATTACTTGTTCAAAAAGAGTATAGCAGAGTTAGAGAATGCAATACAATCAAGAGGCAGATCAGCCTGACCTTACCCTGCTAACAGACCAGCAGCTAACTGCTAATTTTAAAAGGACAATGAATCTACCTCAGATGTTGCACTTCAGGGATGCACAGCATTGTAGAATTTCATCTTGGGCACCTTGACAGTGTTTGCTGTGTACAGAATTTTAAATGTATCCATGTTACCAATCTAGAATGATCACTCTGAAAATAAACCCAAAAGCCAAATAACTCAGTTAAGGACAAATTCCAAAGCCGTGTACAGAACCCACACACACCTGAGTACATTTATGACGAGGATACATCCCAGGCACAAACTCTCCAGACAGAATTTGTCTGGTGTTGTTTTTTAAACTCTCTCTGCAGGCCTTGGCACAAGGAGCCAGCACCCAAGGACGTTGCACACTGCCGACTACTGTGAAGGGAGGGAGCAGGACTTTTTTGCCATCATGGTCTGTCTTGCATGTCAGAACAGCTTTGTCTGGAGGTTGCATAATGAAGGACGTCAGCACAGACCTAGGAGCAGAGCATGTCACTGTGGTGGCAGAACAAGCAGAGGGTAAATAAATATTGTAATTCATGTAATATGAGCAGATGGCATTTCATCAAAGTTATTAACAAAAATGGTTCAAAGATGTTTATATTCTCTTAACCTACACAACAATATATACCCATATCTATTTTTCACCTTGGACAGCCAATAGATTATGATGATTTCTATTTTCTCAAACCAATTTTTATCTTTCCAGACTACTTTCCTTTTCTTCCATGTGGAACAGACAATGGCATCTGACAATTCCTACCTTCACATGATGTTTCCTCCCTTTTCCAGACTGTTTTTCACCTTTCTAGGTGATAAGTTGCTGTTATAGCTCCTTAGTTTTGTGATTACCAATGGTATCTCAGGATGTCTCCAGTTTTTTGGCACTCAGCTGCACTTCAATGATGCCAGCTGAGTTTCTCCAGGATGCTTCTGGTTTCCAGGCTGGCAGGCATTTTCCCTGTCAATATTTCAGCAGGCATCTCCTGTTCTGCATTTTTTCCTTTACAACCAGGTTGCCTTTATGGCTGCTCCCATCGGTTGCTGAGTTTGCTTAGTCTTTAATAAATTGACAATGCTTGACTCAGGAAAATGGTAGTTTGCAGGTGCTACAAGATGACTGGAAAGGAAAGGTGTTCTGAAGATGTAAAAATGCCATCTCTTCAGCATACGACTGTTTACACCTCCTCTTTTTACTTTCTTTCTGATTCCCACCTTACCAAGGCTTTCAACAATAGGCTGCATGACATTCCCTGTAGCTACTCAAATCTGCCTTGATACAAGGAGTCAGTAACTCATGCACCTGCTCTGTAACACAAGGAATTCAATCTCTGAACTGTAATACTGGGTTGCTTGTGGATATATATGAAGGAACCTAAAGGAATTGTCTGCTGGCATTTTTTTATATTTCTTTTTCATGCTATGTTTTTGTATCAGTTTTGATTCCTCAGTTTCTGTGATTTCCATGTTTAGGCCAGACTTATGGAGACTGAAGTCGCTTATTTGATGTAAATCCAATTATTCTAATAACAACCCGTAAGGATCAGTAAGAATGTTATAGTTTTTTCCGATGCTGACTAAGACTGCTTGGCTTTGAAGAGGAAGTGTGTGTGGGGAGAGGAAGCCTGGCTATCTTTCCATGCCTTGCAGCCTTCCTGTAAGCACCGACGCAGTGCTTATTTACAGACCCAGTGGGGGAACATGCTTTGCATGGGTATCCTAATTTTACTGACTGTAAAAGCACCAGATATAGCTTCACTTTTTAATTATTATTATTTCTTCTGCAGGAAAGATTATTCACTTCTATACTTGATGCCTTTTTGAACCATCTGAGCAAGTATGCAAAAGGCTCCTTGGCATAGCACAAGCTTAGGGAGGTAAGCCCTCTTCTTGTCCTGTTAGGAGGTACTTCCCACCATTTTAGTGAAAGCAGGGGGAAAGGATGAAAGCAGCAACTGTCCCTGTTTGCATGGCCATAGCTGGTCCAGTGCCCTTGACTTTCTTGAACAGACTCCCTTCTCCATTGAACAAACAGGATGCAGCTAGTCCCATGCAAACACAAAGGTGTCAGCAAACAGCTCCCACTGCAGAAACCTAGCAGCAGCAGCTATTCCCTACTCACCGCCTGCAAAACACTGTGAAATGGAGGATCAGACCAAGAAAAGAGGATTACCAGAGACGGCTGAGGCTTAAATGGCATTTTCTTGCTGGACCAATTCTTGCCTTTCATAACACTGATAAGCTGATAGGCTTAACATTGATGAAATAATAGGCTGAGTGTGCTGTAGTAAGCTATCTAAAGATCACTAAAGCTTCCAAACGTGGTCAGTAGGTAAATATTCGTCTGGTTACCTACAGCTGTTTTCTGCTGTAGGTGCACTCAGCTGGTCAGAAACCAGCCCTGCTAAACTGTCATCAGCCAGGACAGCTAGCTCACGGCCACACATCCAGTGGATACCTGACAAGCAGCCCCCCCTCCCCTCCAACTCCC